TGAAAATAGATAGAAAAATGAAATCTCAACAAGTTGGTCTTAAGAATATTGCGATTCTATTTTCATATTCGATTGTTGATTATCAACATTTGAACGTCTGTCATCCAGTGAAATACGATATCGGAATTTTCAGATCATTTATTATTTTTAAATTTCTCGGCTAGAATATCTTTGCTTTTAATAATAATCTCTCTATAAATAAGGATCTAACTATTGCCCCTGTGACAACGTTAGTTTTTATTTTTGTTAACCTAATTCTATTCCAATATATTCAATATTCGATTCTAGTTAGGATGTCTATCACAAAAACTAATCTTTAGAAATTCAAGCAAGAAAAACTCAACTGAAACATGTGCTAAATTAGAAAGGACCCACTCTGACTAAACCTTTTTGGATATAAACTACGAAACGTGTTTTACTATACTTACAGCAAAAAAAGAATAAAGCCATAATATATGCAGTAATTTTAAGTTTGATTTTTCTTATCTCGAAGCTAGAAGTTAGTTCAAATTGTAGTTTAGATAAAACAAACAGTGACTATCTATGATGCGATTCAAAATGGCTAAAGCACGCTAAATTTCTTCCAAGCAGACAATGAAAGTTATACGATGGAAGCGAAGAGTGCTCGAAAATGTGAAATATATATTTTTTGTTGGTTCTGTTTTAATTTCTACCCCTCGATAGCTATTGGATTTCGAGCACTCGAAAATCATCCTATGGGAGAGCTATGTTCGACTCTTTGAGAAGTTTTCGACCTGTTGCCACTTATCAAAATTTCGAGTACTCGAGCAGAACCAAGATATTGAAAAAACTTTGCTAAGTGCTCCACTAGTGATTAAGTTAATTATGAGCTATGAAATTTCTTTCAAAAGAGACTCACAAATGTCTTTCTCATTGGGCTGCCTTAGAAGAATCGTCTATATTGTATGTTTGTGTTTTTTTAATTCTTGATTTTCTAGAAAGGAATTGGCATGAAATGATGAAAAACCACAAATAAAAACAAAATCTACACTGATGTTAAAGAAAACAAGATTTTTACAAATACTGTTAGAAGTCTTTGAAAAAAAAATTTTAATATTCATTTTATACCTTATCCAAAAACTCGTTATCTATCAAATGCCGTACTTATCAATTAAATTTCTTTTGTGGCATTTGAAACTCATGAAAAAGTCGATTTGCTAATTAAAAAGGCGAAAAATGTGTTTTTATCGATTAAACCATTTTTAATAATATTTGAAAACTGTTAGCAAATGTTACAATTCAAAGTACTACTTACTAGAGGGGATGAATTCACATTTAAAGAAATTTATCAAATTCAAAAAACGAATCTGAACAATTTTAATCCAACTTAAGTTCATTAATATTGAGTATTTAAATAAAAAACAATATTTCATAAATTTTCAAAAAAATCACATCCCTAAGTTGTATCAATTTAAGAATTGAAAATATAGCTTTCATCGAAGAAAAACAATTCATATCCAGTTCAAATGTTCGACGACTGTTTATCGTACGTACTCACGTTCTAGTTCTTCTTCTTCGCATTTATTCGATAGCCTTCGACTCAAGACTTAGAAATCTATCGAAAAATTCATTTATTTTTATCTCCTGTGTGGAAATCGTTCGACTAGTCGAAAACACCATGTTAAGTTGACACATTGCCGAGTCCTCGACCCGTCGGAAAGTGAGAATCCAAGCACTCTGTTTTAAATTCGAATGCCCACGACAATCTCAAATCAACGCGACGCAATTCCTATCGGATAGCCACTTAGGTTGCTTGCTGGTGCGCCGTCCATGGTATATACGTATGTTGAGTTATATATTTTGTACTCTAGTTTACCAAGAAAACATGAATAACTTGGGGAAGCAATTGCTTCCCCGTGTAGTGCTGATGCGTCGTCCGTGCTCATACCCATATACACACCCTTCAATCGAACTGTCCAACAATCCATTTTTTTGTTGAAAAATGTCATTTGTTCTTTTTACTATTTAAATTGTATATCTTTTATGCAGTACTTGAAACTGTCATCGTAGGAATATTGAAATGAATTGAATGTGAAAAGCATAACTGTAAAATGGATAATGAATATTTGATGCAAATGATCGGCTTCAATCGATATCATTTATTGCGTTCTCAAACTATGCATTTTTTTTATGCAACAGAAGACTAGCTACAATAGATAGATTTATACCAGATAGAGCTCTCAGCCAGTGAACGTGTAACACCGGCTCGATAGCCACCGAGATCTTGATCGAGAAGCCAACTCAGTCGAAGAGAACTGCTCAAATCCTCATTATCTCCTTGAGTTTGTCGAATGGTAAACGTTGGAGCAAAACCGAATGACTTTCCCGACGTACGATACCAGAAAACATCGCCAAACTTTTGTGGTTGATTCCATGTCGTATTCGTTGTCAGTACACTAGCTGGACCAACAGCTGCCAGTACGATTGATCCATTGATGGAAGCAGCAACAATCACTTCATTTCGGCATACACCAGCAGCTTGAACAAGATCAATGCTACGAGTCCGATGACTATATGGTTGGTTGAAAACAAGGGTCCATCCGTTCAAAGGAATAATAAGATTTTCATATATGATCCAGTCGAGTTCTACTTTAGCAGGTAGTTTCTCGTTTGAGCAGCAATTCGAGGTTGAAAGACGTGCCTCGAGTGCTGCCAACTGGGTGGCGAAATCACGTGACAGAGCGCTAATAATAGTATTAATAATTTCATTCTTCAGATCATCAAGCATAGTAGAATTCAATGTTGACGGACAAGCATATGTCGTTGATGGTGTAGTTGTCATCAATTGTTGTGTCCAAGTATTATTATTCAAGTTCTCCAAAGTATTCTCAACTATTGCAGTGCTCGCTCCTTGAAAAGATTCTATAATAGTGAACTGATCTTCTCTTGTGTTGTTAGCCGATTCGCCAAAACTAGTATCGATCATGGTAAAGTTGCTTGCTTCAATCGGTTCTACAGTAGTCAGTTGTGCTTCTGCGCCATTAATGCTTTCATTAGTAGTATTATTGGGTGCTATTGAGTTTGCTTCCTGATATGAATCCTTAGTAGTAGTAGTAGAAGCAGTTGATTTCTGACCAGATCCAATTCCAATATCGATAGTCAATTCAAAGTTAACAGCTTCACATGAACAATGAAGAAAAGCAATAAAAACGAAGAAACGAAGCATCGTAGTTTGATGAAATGCGACTGTTTTCAAACGTTCGTATCCTATTGTATCAGTTACAGCTATTGTTCTGACTCAAGGATAATGTTTGAAAATAATACCGAAAAGAAAATCCATTTTTGATTGCATTAGGTCGATACGATGCTGGTGTCAAATGACTTCAGTAAGCTTCACATTGACTACTTTTCGAATGAATACATAGATTTCGATTAAAATAAAAGAAAAAAACTATGTTTGCTCTTTTTTTTTGCAACTCTGACTTTGGAGTCAATTTTCTACTTTATTATTAGTTCTTTTTCTACTCATCTTCAGTAAACATTCATTGATAGGTGTGCTTTTGTTTAGTCCAGAGTCTGTCCCACTTCCTGAGTGAAAACTGTAAATTGATAGTATATATAGAGGATAACTCAAAGATATTTTACGATAAAAGCTATGGAGATGTTTTCAATGCGTAGATTATTCAAATCTTTAGATTGGTACAATAGCGAAGATGAAGTTCAGATCGCGATGTCTCAACAGTTTGCTCTGAATTGAAATTTAAATAATACTTTGCAAAATTCAAATGAATCTGATGGATTTCTCACAATTTCATTAGGGTGTGGGTGTGGATGCGGTTAAACTTGAAGACTCCAAATCACACCCACACCAACGCTTATACCCACATCCACAGTCATGCCCACCCATACCATAAAAATGTGTGAAAACTTAGTTGTTTTTCAATGATGTTTTGATAAAGAGAAGGATGAAAGGCAAAGAAAAAGCAAGAGTGTGATAGTTTCTTGAAAAATTATATCATTGGATGAGACTGAATCTGTTTAATGATTTTTCTTTACTTGACATAATTTATATTTATGCTACTTTCACTCTATCGCTCTCAAAGATCTTGTCTTTACAAAGCAACTGTCTGTAGTTTGTTCGGATAAAATGCTTTTTCGATCTAATAAAAACGATTAACTTAATTCAGTGTTAGCAAATTTTGTTCAATAAAAATGCAATGCTCATCTTTATGCCACTGATGGGATGTGGGTGTGAGTGAGTCTTTGTCGTCTCTTCATCAATACCCACACCCACGCCCCAATTTCAATGAATAGTGATCAAGAAGAACTTGAAAAGGCACAAAAAGAACAAGATGTTTAAAAGAACGTGTCCCGAAAGAAACATCAGAATATCAAGCTGCTTGGATTCTCGAAGATGAGAAAGAAGAAGAGAATGATCATCAAGAACAAGTCTCTCTTTTCATTTTGTTTTTCTCAATCATCATTTGGAAAATCAGCATTTTTCTTTTTTGCATAGTTCGGAAAGTAATGAAAAAGAAATGGTAATAACAAGTGCTGATGATCTTCAATCCATTGAGCAAGAAGAAGAAGAAGAAATGGATGAACGTGTTATTAATCGAAATAATTATGATGAAAAATTTGATTTGGAAGAAGATAAACAAAGGTTTGTTGAATAAATCATTTTGACAAAAATCCATTTTCCTTTTCTTTATCGAAATAAGTTTGAAGAACAGGATATGGGTGTGGGTGTGGGTGTGGCTTTTACGTTAGTATTGTTTTCACCCACACCCACCCACATACCCACACCCATACCCACCACCACACCCACTCTATGTGTGTGTAGGAGTTGATGTGAGTGTAAAGAAGAAAACATCCATAGCCATAACCACATCCTTAATTACTAGGACTCGTCTTCCAGCTTGGCACTTGTTTTAGCTCTAATAATTCGAACATTGGCGATTTCGGACTGAGAAGAAAAAAATCAAAGTATCATTTCTAGATTTTTTATTACTTCAATGAAGAGAAAAATTTGACAGTGCTCAAAAATAAGTTATTTGAGATTCGCACTTCCAAAGTCTCAAATGTTTCGGCTCAACAATGAGTACAGATCCACTCGCATGGACACGAGATAACCACTTTGATCTCATATTCTGATCATCCATTAACATTCGAGTTAATATGAAAGTACCTCGACAAGAATAAAGTCGAAATACACGAAGTCGTTCGAACGATGTAATCAATTTTTCAATTATTTCTACTTGTTTTTTCTTTATGAGTTTACTCGATGTTAATCCAAAGCTGAGGTATTCGATATGAGGAAAAGCAGTGATCAAATAATTCAAATGATTAAGCTGAACAGTTCCATCTGGTCCACTAGACCAACATGTAAGATTTGTGATGTGACTGCCGTCTAGTGGAGGTGATGCTGTTCGTAATAAATAGATTAAATCACCATACATCATAGTGAGGGTTGTAAGTCGTTGATGTCCGTAAAAGAGATAATCAAAAAGAGTTCTATTAACTTGACATTTTGTTGAACGCATGTAAGCCAACGAATAGATATATTTCAGTTTCAACGAAACTGGAAGTGCCACAGAATTTTCTTCTTTAAGTTCGTGTTTGACATTAATTGACTCAATATTGATATATTTAATACCGGGGAAACTACATATAATATTAATATAATCGTTAGCTGTTATAGGTAGATATTCTCCAGACATGTTGAGCCCAATAATATGTTTAGAAGGTTGCTGTGCAACTTTCGGATTGGTTTTAAGAGCACGCAAGGCTTCAGGTGATGTAGTATAGCCAGTATCACGATCAAATCTATATGGAACAGTATCAATATACAATGTTTCTTGATTCGTATAAATACTAAGTGAAGCAGATGGTAAATATTGGACGAATAAATCGAAAACTGCTTTTTTAAGATCATCATGTGTGTAGACAACAAAACGATCAAGTAATGTTATTGTTATTTGAATTTCTAAGCCAAATATGACTGTTGGTAAAAGAGGCATTGAATTAATAAGATCTGTCCAAAGTGTTGCATCAGCATAATCAGGATCACTGGTTTTTAAGCCAAACGATAGATGTTCAATTGAAGGAATATTATACACCAATGGTATAAAAAATGTTTTAAATGGTACTGCTTGCTTGTGTTCTGTATGCATAAATAATATTTTTAAAAACTTAGGGAAATTGTCCATTGAAAATTGAATCTGAGGAACAAACGTTGGTAATACATCATCAACAATACTAAAGAATAAACGATTAATATTAGGTACAATTGTAAATAAAACAAATAAATCATCAACAGTTGACAAATGAATGTTTAAATCTTGTAACTGTATATTTGGTTTGATTTGAGGTTTCATATGAACTCCTTCCTCAATATCGAGTGTGATTTTTCGAAAATTATTTTCCTTTGTGAATAGGTAGAACTGAAGAAGAGTTTCAGTTGAACTTTTGATTTTCTCATAACTAGTAAATGAAATAAACAATTCTTCGAGATAAAGTAATTGAGATAAAAGAGTTATATTATTATTTTCAAAATCAAGAAGTGATATTGAAGTAAGGAATGGTAGTTTTTCTTTCAAATAACTATTGCATATATTTTCTTGAAAGATTTCAATTTGACCCGGTGCACATCCATTACTCAATGTTAACTTGGTGAGACGTTGTGGAAGAAAAAATAAGAATGAAGACGAACACATATATTGAAATTGATTCAAGGAAGTATGTGAAAAATCGAGTTGAGAGCAGAATTCGCCAATGATACATTGTATACGCCAATTTAGATATCCAAAGGAATATAATATGTCATATGAACTCAAATAAGTATATATTTCAAGTAATAATTCATCAGGCAAGTCTTCAAGACATTTTGAATTCTCCATTTGTAGTACACAACTATCACAGACAATCCTCATTTAAAAAAGAAAAATTACCAACTCACATTATACTCTTCCTCTAATGACTAATATTTGCCTCACCTGGATTTATTCAACCATGACCAAAATGAAAACATATCAACAAACATTATGATAGAAGCATGACAAAAGAGGAATTTTTGGGTGTGGGTGTGAGTGTGCATGCGTTTTTCTACATGTTTCCATATGTTATCAATCATCACCATTCTTCATATACAATATATGTAAAACATATACAAGTCATTGATTCATCTTCGGTTCAATTACATAGACACAAATTTACCCATAACGACATTCATTTATGTTTTTCTTTTCTTCTTTTTTCTTCTTCTTTCTCATTTCTCACTTCGACTATACATCACATAACTGACCTTATTTCACTTGATAAATGTTTTCATTTTTTTCTTCTTTCTCTATATGCAACATATGAGCCATGTACAAGTCATTTAATCATCTATATTCAGCTGTATAGACACTTCTCTAAGTGTGATTCTTTATTCTTTCTGACATTAACCTAACTTGTACAAAACGTAACTCACTACCTATTTCTTACTTTATCTTCTCTTTTTGTCTAACATTTGTTATTAATATTCTTTAAACGATTTGTTTCACTTTTAAGATATTTTGAAAAAGGCTCTATGCCAAAACACGTGTCAACAAAATCTTCATCTTAAAAATTGCAAATCTATTATTCAGACTTTTCTAAGTCAGAATTCTTCGTATCAATAAACTGGGTGTGGGTGTGAGGTGGATGTGGATGTGAATGTGGGTGAAAACAATGCTAACGTAAGAGCCATACCCGCACCCCACCCTTAATGCTCTAGTTTTTCGAGACCTAAACGATAGCAGCTAAAGTATTGATAATCGAGATATACTTAGGTCTGACCAAAAGTTCCCAGATTGCTATTGGCAATTTTATAAACCAATTAATATCGAAGAGTGTTGTGCATGGATAAATAGTGGAATGTCTTATCTATAATAGTATATATAGTAAATCTCTTTTGGACTTAGTTATAGTATTTTTTTCGATAAACTTTAATTCGAACTAAAAAAAAATTTTCAAAAATGGATAATGAATACAATCGATATTATATAAAAATTCGAACTATTTTGGAGATAAATCCAAAGACGATTCACGAAGAACTTGCAACAGCTTTGGGATCCAAGGCTTCATCATATCCAACAGTTGCAGAATGGACAAAGCGTTTCCGTAAAGGAAGAGAAGATGTCAATGATGATCCTCGATCTGATCGTCCAGTATCCGAGCTGACAGATGAAAATATTGAACTAGTACTAGAGGTTATCAACAATGATCCACATTCAACTTATGATGATATTATAGCTGAGACATTTCTCTCTCATGGTACAATAAAACGAATTATCCACGATTGTCTTAAGATGAAAAAAATTACATCACGTTGGGTACCCCATCAACTGACTGATGAACAAAAGCAAGAACGTGTTAAACTTTGTGAAAATTTGGCGAAATCCCGTGATGGTTCTTGACGATTATGTGATATTATAACAGATGATGAGACGTGGATTTACCACAGGACAGATTCATCGCAAGTCAACAAATGCAAGCTGGGTTGGCGAAGATGAATCACCAACTACTATTGTTCGTCGAGGTAAATTTGAACCAAAAAAATTATTTTCTATTTTCTTTAAATCAAATGGTCCTGTTCTTATACATGATGTTAACGAAGGCAAGACTATAGATCACAACTATTATATTGAAAATTGCCTCAAGCCTGTCGTGAAGGAAATATGGAAACAAAGAAAGTCAGCAGGTACAAAAGGTATAAAAT